TAGACGGATTGCCACTACTTACACGTTGCAACAGAGTATTGGAGCGCCCGGGCATACCGGCAATGTCAAAGGTAAGGAAGCACGATGAAGTCTCGACGCCAAGAGGGGGCAAAGATCCGGATCTCTGACACGGACCTCACCATCAGTAGGCCCCTCGACAGTGTCTGGGGTCCCAAATCGCGTTAAAAGCGGTCATTCTGCGTCTTAGACGTTTCCCTCATTCAATATCATATATAATGCTGCAGAAGGAGTCCTCTCATGTAGAATATACCATAGCACCAAAAAACCGCCAGAAAATCCCGAGAATGAGTGAATAGAAATCTCACCGACCATCCATCGGGTCACGTGACAGACGCGTCCTCGCGATATTGGACTCAACGAAATACTCCGCACGTACTCTTTCACATATCCGCGTACTTTACCCTCTCAGCAAAACTGATTATCTAGGCCGCTGCTACATGAGCTTTGCAAGCGAGACCTTCAGCAGCAGTCCGGTGATTCTAGTACATGCAGTATAATGGTTCAGATTCCTTTAGTGTATATACATATATCAAGTACTTCTACAGATACACATTCGCTTCTAACGTACCAAAGCTAGCCAGACTCATAACAGCTTGGGAACCAAAGTTATCATATGCTGGCTGCTTTTGCGCCACAGACGCGTCGAGGAGAATAAGGAGGAAGTCAGGCTGACTACGGATACATGATGTCAGTGCCGAGCTCTCGGCAGACCTTCTGCGTGGGGACGGGCAACGCCTGCCAGGACGCCATATTTGCTACTGTTTTGGTCCGTGGCCCGGCAAGACGTCTCCGAGGTCGTGGGACTCGCGGCTGGCCGCGGCACGCTCTCAGGATGTTCAGCGACTTGACCGAAACACAGGTCGTCGACGTTACCTTAATAACGTCCGCACCTTGCATTCTACCGACTGGCTTCACTGAGCAATATTGGAGTATACATACCTATCTGTAATTTTGGAAGAGCAACTCTTTTATCTTTTGTTTCTCGTTGACTTAGAGCCCATGTAAGGAGCATGTTATCCTACAGTGAATTGTGCTCGAAGGAATTGTCTATTTAAAAAACGGTCTTCCAAAGTTTTAGTAAGGCACTGTTGGAACATATCTCAATAGTTGAGTAAGTCAGCGGGAGCCAGCAGTGGTAAGTTATTTCCACAATGCCGAGCGGGTATCACGCGACGCGTCTCAGCAGGACGCGTCGAACGCGTCGCGCTCGTTTACGCGTTGAATCCGCGTCTCTTGCTCTCACCAACTGCGGTTGGCACGCGGACAAACTGAGTGCGCTGAAAGATGTCGTTCCGCGTTATCGACAGCGGGTTTCGCAGTCAAGGGGAATGTGGGTTGAGCATGCTGGCATTAGTCTCAGTGACTCTGATTCAGATCAGGAGTCAGGAGATGGGATAAATGATTATGATGATAATGAAATGGACGAATATAACATATTGTATTTGTGCTACAACTCAGAGTACGAAACTACACGAGACAATGTTGCATCGACGCCACCAGGTCAACTTGGAATATCTCAATTTGGGATGCCGGGGGCCTGCCGGTCCTAGCTTCGTATTCTCACGACCCCGGACCATTAGTCAGCCGCCGTGAGCTCTGCAGGCGTTGCCATTCTGCGGAAGGTGGTCCTACCCCTTTGTGTCTCCGGGGTCCTTGTCACTAAGGGAGGTCAGTGTCGGAAAGTAGTGTTTTGACCCCCTCTTGCTCGACGCTGTCGCGAACGAGGGACAGCCAGATTCGAGCGTAAGCCAGATTAGACGAAGAATATTAATGCGGGCTGCACAAGAGATGCAATTACCGGAAGCAAAACGTTTTGCCGACTCTTGCGCCACCACGCTCGCCTAACCAGTCGCGTTCGTAGCACTTCAATCCAAGTAGTCCTCTCCTCTCCGCCCCTACTCCATAAATGCGACCGTCTACCCTCGGCCTCGAGTCCCCCACGCACGAGCTTTACATGGAGATATCTGAGAGGGGTTGGTCATCGTCGGAGAAAGCACGGGTATGTTCTCACCCATGCTTTACACACGGCCGATGACCCCCACTTCCTCTGTCTCGCCTGCGTCTCTTGAGATTACTGCATGACGGCTAGTTTGCACCTTACATATATACTCGTTCCCCAGCCGCCTCTTACACGGTCATCCGCCCTTCTCCAGCTGTTGTGGTATAGGTGACTCGGCCGATGGGACGTCAAAGTCGCTTGCTCGTATCTGGTCTTATGCATCGCATGCTCTCTCGGTTTAACTCGCTCCTCGACTTTCCCGCCGCGAAGATTGCGCAATTGCCACTGGCGCTGTTGACCGCCCACTCCCTGCGCCATGCGAGAAAGCCGGTGGCGCCTACACCTTACCCGTACCTCTGATTCGTTCAATGCAGACGGACGTCCCCAGTCCCTACCAATACTTCAGCATCCGACTAACTCTCATCTCGATCTTTCTTCTTGGATTCCTGGCGCCGTAAGACGCAGTGCAATAACGGTCAACGTTACACACGCGCTCCTCCCAACCGCCCGTAATCACGTTATGCAATGATACATCTCCGGCGATCTTTTGAATGAGCTTGGACGAGGTCTCGAGCACTTGGACTATCTTTATGGACTAGCCAACACTCAAGAAAGTCTCCCATAGTAGCGTGGGCTATCGTGGTTTCGCAGTCGTCTGAACCTCAAACCATCCACATAAGGCTTTCCCGCTGAGACATCGGAGGATACATCGGCATCGCTTCTTCCCTCTCCCCGACGCCTCTTATTCAAGAAGTCACTGACGGCAAGCTCGGGCGCGTGCTTGCGTGGCCATCAAACCCTCTCCTGAAGTAAGCCTGAGCACGTCTCTGAGCCCAAGTCTCCTGTCGTATCTCACCCCCGCATGTCCTCTCTCGCCATCATATGCCGCCATGACGCTGTCAACCCCCCGCCCTCCCGCCCAGCTCGGGTCCGTCCACCTCCTTCCCCTCCCGTCACTTCAAGGCCAAGCCCAGTCGTCCGCTGTCCTGAGCGCAGTGGATCCGCGCTCTCGTGGGCGCTCATGTGCTTATACTTTCCCCTCTCTATCCGGGATGTGCTTCAAACCGTACTGTATGGTGCTGCTCAGTGTCCGGTTGCATGGCGTGTGAATCTTGCAGCAAGTACTAGTATCACCCCTCTCGTCCATTGCGCTCTCCCCATCTCCAGACTTCCTCCCCCCTTGCCGGCGACGAACGAGTAGACTACGTGAACGCGACGTGCGTGTTTCCTCGCGCACCGTGTGCGCGCCTTACTCGCCCTCTTACTATTCCCTTTCCCATCGTCTCTGCTCGGCTGCGTTCTTCCTTTCTTCTATTCCGCTCCATTAGTCCGCTCATCGACTTATCCTGCGCACGCATCTTCCAGAGCTCAGCGCGCCGCTGTCAACACAACACACCGGCGCGAGTCAACGTGAGTACTCTTGTTCCTTCCTTATGATCCCTCCTCGCCATTCCCATTCCCATTCCCATTTCCCCTTCTTCTCCCACTTCTCGCCCCTTCCGCAGCCATTCAGTATTCGCCCGCCTGGTCCTGCAGAAGGTGAGCGCGCCGATCTCCTGGATGCGGTGGGACCGTACTCGATCTCTGGTTGGCGGATACGCCATGAGCGGTGCAGCGATGAACGGGGGACGGAGGACGAAGCGCGCAACGTCTGGCGTACAATATATCTGCATACTATATGTGTTTCGACGTTCAACAGGCGTAGCTATGCAGAATATGATTTCCCGTCATATTTGGCAAGCCGCGTCTTACGTAATGTCCGTCCCGAGGGTGATGCACTGGGCGCTCAGATAGGAGACTGACTGTACATGAGCATGCAGGAACGTCGGGAGGCAGATGTTGAGAATGAATTAGTTTTGCGAAGGGACATCGTAAGTAGGGAGATACCTCCGGCCAGGGTGATGTCATGCGACGCCTCAACGGTACGGCGAAACAACACTTGCAGAACGCTCGGGTATGCCCGGCTATTTGACTGCCACAGCACCGGCCACAGACGACAAAACCGAGCAGTATATGCATGGAGAGAGGCGGGCGGGAATCGCACATCACAGAACGGGAGACAGGGGTGTATAGCCTGGTCCGCGGGGACCCTGCCGTGAGGAAATCTTTATCGCTGACCATACCGGCGTACCTGCGTCTGCACCCATCATGAGCCGTTAGCAGCGGTTACACTGACAGATATTAGCACATGAGTAGTTACTCGCGAACCGTCCACATCGTGTAGGTCGGAGGGGAGCCAGAGCACGGGCCATGATAGATGCTCTGGTCGAATGATTGCTGCCTCGTGGATCTGCACTCCCATTTCGGGGTCACGCAAAGAAACGGGTACTGGTGGAGATAGAGCTCAAAGAGATATTTGACCGCTAGCTAAGACCAAAGGTCTGAGGCGAAAAGAATATAATGAGAGCACTGTGTGTCCCCAACGAGCAGTACGCTCGGAGTATCCATGTGAGCGCCGCCGGACAATGGAGGCCAGGCGAGTGGCGTGGGAATGCTCTCGTCCAATCAGCAGCATACAAGCTCTGTACAGTCAGAACGCCAACACCGCTTCCTTTCAACGATACGACATTGTCCCTTTCGACTTCCGTCCAACAACCGCACGCTATCTGCTCTGCCTATACCAGCGCCTACTGTCCACTGAAGCCCAAATTATTCAACGACCCTCATATCGTATGTCCTCTACATTGCGTCTCGGTGCCAAACTTCGACTAAATTCTCTCTAGCCCAAATTCACGGCTGAACAATCAACATGTCCTATTCACACATTGCTCGCAGAAACTTTGCTAATCTCTCGTACGAACTGATCTCGAAGATCGTAACCTTCGAGACGGGGGACGGTACCGATGCCGCCACGGGGGCCATTGTGCCACCGAGTGCCACTGGGTTACTCGCCGCGACCCACGTATGTCGCAGCTGGAGAGAAGCGACCGTACACAACGCAACCCATTGGAGGAATATTTGGATGGGAAGTTTGGACTCAGTGAGAACGTTGTTAGCGCGCACGCTGCGATTACCCGTCGCCATAGCCGGCTCGCTGTCGACGGAGGCAGACGGGAGAAAGCTGGCCGTAGTGATGAACCATATATCGCGCGTACGGTCTCTCACCCTGAAGGCCACTTCAGAGGCGTTACGGGCGTTAGATGGACGAAGGAAAGGGGAGGCATCGATCTTGGAAACTCTTGAGATCGAGAGGGTGGACCGCGACGAGCGCGTTGACCTGTCCTGCTTCGCGTCGCCAAAGTTGAAGCGCCTGGATGTTACGAACTTCGACTTTGATGAGTTCCGAGCGCTGCTTAGCCCTTCCATAACCAGTTTGCGGATCGCAGGCGCCTGCGTCTCCACCACGACCGGCGAAGTGCTACAGCTTCTCCACCATCTTCCCAACCTCGAGTCTCTCGAACTCAAGGTGAACCTGCAGCCCACCGTCGAAGAGGATTCTTTGGTCCAGACAACTGCCCTTGAGAGATTACGTTGTTTAGATATGGGTATCCAAAGCGTCGGGGAAGCAGAGCTTCTCGCGTTCGTATCGGTGCCACATCTCGACTTTATGCGACTCTCTATTCTCTGCGACGACGACTTGCCCGATATCATGGAGCTGGTCAGACGGCGATTCGAGGGCGACGGCAGGACGGAATTCGGGGGATGCACGTTCTACGCTCCCAACCCCACTAGCCTTCATGTGGCGTTGACGCCGGACGTGACTGTACCTGCTTGTCCACCTCAGCTCGGAACGTACCTCATCTTCGACAATTTCGACGAGTGGGAGGAATACCGCATTGTCAATGTCCTACGCACAAAGTTCGGACCGACCCGTACTGCGCCCTGGATGTCCGCTGTGGAGCAACTGAGCATACGAAACGCTCGCGCCCACACCGAAATATCTACGCAATCCTGGAAAATGCTCTTCAAGGTCATGCCAGGCATCAAGACACTGCATATTTCGGATCGAGGCACATCCGTATTCCCAATCGGGCTATACTCCCAGAAACCCGTGGGTAATCTCTGGTACAGGCAGCCGCTCTTTCCACAGCTTGAGTCTCTCGACCTGGAAGGTGTCTGGTTCCGATCCTCGTCTCGGCTGTCCGAGCAAGACCAGGGTGATTTTCTGGATCGCCTTATAAGACCATTTCAGCGCTGCGACTCTACACAGAGCATAAAATATCTTACCATTCGTGCCGGAATCAATATCTTCCGAGAGGATATCGAACTCTTGCACATAGTCTCGCGTGATGTCCATTGGGACGAGCTGGTGACGTTCAGGGCGAGGAACGACACCTTCGAGGACGGTGTCGACTTCGACATCTACGATGAGGACGATGAAGCAGACCTTGAAGACGGCGAGCTCGAAGTTGAAGAACTCGAGGACGGAGAACTCGAGGACGGGGCACTTGAGGACGGCGAGCTTGAGGACGAACAGCTCGACGACGGGGAACTTGAGGACGGGGAACTAGAAGACGAGGAACAGTCCTCGGACGAGGATGAACACGACGGAGAGATCCGAGCGTCCCAGGGGAAAGCGAGCGACGACGCGCAACCGGGCGGCAGAGATGAGGACAGCCCGTCCCCCAAGCCTACCGGTAGCCCCGAGAGCAAGGAGAAGTAACGTACCAGGGAGCAGTACTGGTTGCAGCGAAACTGCGAGTGTAAATAGCGAATGAATTGTATATCTGTATTTCGATAAATAAGCATGACCTGCGTCGGAGGTCGTGGTACGCGGATGATACGGGCAGGGTCCTCTTGTAACTATCATTTTCATCCCTTGCCGAGAATGGCGCATATAAGCGAATCGGTCGCAAAGTCCTATGGAATTCGAATACTTTACCCACGTCTACTAGAAGTCGAGCGGCGACATTCTGAGAACGTCGGGAGCTTGGGCCTCCGGAGGATGGACGACTACCACCGCCTAGGAGAACCGCGTTTGATATAGCAACGGGCTCGTGTCCACGGTGCGTCCTCCGCGCATTCCTTCGGTCTTCTTTCGCACAATGGGCATCTGACGCCACATGCTTCTCATAACGGCTTCTATCATATATCAGATGCATCAGCGGAAGGAGCTCAGGGTGCATTGTACGTACAGAAACGGCTGCAGACGATAGAACAGCGCGCGGGACGCGATCAGCGCCGTGCCATCTGCCAGCCATAGGCGATGCACGATGAGATATCTCCGTCATACCGGCCTTTGTCGCTGCATATCCACGTCCATCCCGCATCGACTGTAAACCGACTCAACTGACATCTCGGGCGCCCGTCCAGGCAGGGAACGCGAGGCTCCAGGCGTCGAGCCTCGGACGAGCATCGTCCCACGCTGCGCGATCCTCTGCCGATCGCGCGAGGCAACGCACGCGGAGGAGTTCCGCGGCGCCTGCGTCCCACCAAAGCCTCGCACCCATCACGCATTTCTTCGCGAGGCAGTCGGACGCGATGCGCGCAGGTTGGAACCATGCCCGCGAATTCTGCGCGATGGATAATGGAAGCTTGAGAGCACGCCGCGGAAACGCACCTCGGAAACCTATGATGCCGCAGAGTCGAAGAAGCCGTTGCATCCATCCGTTTCCCGGCCATTGCTGTCTGGGCGTTTCCGACCCCTCAGCGACGGAGCCCACGCCTCGCATGAGAAATACGCAGGAACAGAATCTCGAGCTCGCACGAATCGACAAAGGGCCTGTATCCCTCCTGCCGGTGACAACCCCACCCGCTACGCACGTAGCCGGTGCACTAGCAACACCAACCGCTCGGACGGCCGCGGTTGGAGATCCCAAGCTGCCCTCGGACCAGTACCCGCATGATTTTCGGGCTCACCTCACATGCGGATCACCAACCCCCTCCAACACGGCGTCGGCGCGTGCACACCGTATCATGCAGCCCCGACGCTCGCACCACCCACCCACCCACCGCGCCCCGTCGCCCGCGTCTCACCTCGGCGCCGGCACCCTCCAGGCCGATGCGGGGGAGGGCGGCGGAGCTCGGGATGCGGGCCGAAGATGCAAGGCTACGTGTACCCGCCAACGCGGGATCGAGCCTTGCCTTGCGCGTGCGCGCGTCCCGATACCTGATTCCAACTGTCGACTGTCCGCCCGCCCGCCTCCCCCCTGCAAGTGGATGCGCGCTCGTGTGGATTGGCGGTGATCCCTCTTATCAGCCCCTGGCCCCCACGCAGCTGTCTCGGATATACTGAGTGATGGCTAACCGCGGCGGGTCAACGAGGCAAAGGAGAGTATTATGGGAGAACGGGCCGGGGCGGGGGCGGGCCGGGCTCTTGGATGCGCTGTGCCATGCCATGACAAAAGAGCCCGACGATGCAAAGCGCGACTGCGAACCGCGTCAACGAGCGACCGCACGAGCACAGCTTTATGGACTTGTACAACTGCGAGATCCTCGGCGGGTGCGGGCAAGCAAAACGGGTAGGGATACAGTTGCACAGGGTTGTAGTCGTACAGTGAGCAAGGGAGGAAGGGAAGGGTTAGTGGTACAACATTTGACAGGTATGCGACACACGGGCAAGTAGAGCGCTGAGGATATGATGGCGGAGCGGGATCAATCAGAGGACGAAGCGACTTGGACGTCGACATAGACGACTTCGAACATGGGGGAGTTCCCAGCCTGCGGACGAACGAATAAGTCGTTTACCAGCCTTCTGTAGACACGGAACGCGCACCCCGACCAGCGCAACATGCCCCACGCTCAACAACGCCACTCCGTCGAACCCGGTAGCCGGGACGGCGACGGAGAAGTTCTGGTGGGGCGGCTTCTCGCCCGTGCCGCTCGCGTTGGTGTACTGCGGGGCGTACGGGCCGCTGTAGAGGATCGTGCCCATCTCCTCCGCGGGGGAGGTGCAGGCGAGGGCGCCGGATGCGTTGGTCGTGCAGGCGTGGAGGGCGATGATGAGGGAGACGTCGGTGGAGCCTGTGAGGGAGTTCTATGGGAGCGTGAGCGCAAGAGGGAAGGGGAAAGGGAGGCAGCGCACGGGTTTGTCGACTTGGACGGTAAAGTTGGACCCCGGTGCGACGGTCGTCCCGGCGGGCGGGTACCCGATCGCGACAGACTGGCAGTGGATCGATGGGACGATGGCGAGGACAGCGGCGACGAGGGCGAGGGCGTAGCGCATGGTGGGTCGTTGTCGAGTGAGATCTACTTGGATAGCGCAGCGAGCGACATGAGTAAACGATCATGCATGTGCAGCAACGTCAGGCTATACTTGGTCTTATCTCTACGCTAGACCGAGCGAGAACTTTACAACTTTCTGCGCCACAACGCCCGTCTAACCTCCCACCAATCCCATGCGCGCTCTGATCCATGTCGGCAAACTGACGGGGTCTCCTCCTTCATGCTCCTCCCCCGGGAGCTTCGGAAACCATGGAGCGTCGTCAGACTTACGACTTACATCCTTAGCGTCATCTTGGATGGCAACATCTTTCGAACTGAAGGTGCTGCCATCCAAGACGACGCTCGCTTATGATTGTTCGCCAACGCAACGGTATTCTCCGTCCTACAATCGCTCCCAAGGTTCATGTCTCCCTCTAACCAGTGTTCCATCTTCTCATACCCTTCCAGAGCATTCAACCCTATGCGCCGCTCAGCACGCGCGGTCTTCACTCTTCCAGCACGTGAATGTGATATACAGCCCGTCCTCGGCCTCATACAACATGCCGAACCTCCACGCACGCTTGCTCTTCTGCATCTCGGCTGACAGCAACCAGCGGGGTTACCGCTCTTACCCCCCTTGCGCGCCGCAGCCCCGAACAACCAGGTATCGATGAGCATTAGGCTGGGCGTGGCGGGAGTCACTTGTCGGGTGCCACGGCGATACGAGCAGGCACCGCAACCCGGGTGGGCATCATGCACCTCCCGTGTAGCCCTCTCGTCCACGTCTATGCACGCGCCCACCGCTGCTCCGTGCGCCCTCTCCCTCTCCCTCCCTTCCCACTTCCCTCTCCACCATTCCGCCCGTCCGCATGATCGCTCTTATTCTTCCCGAATCCCACAGAGTGGGCGTCGTTGACGTCTCTCCCCGAGACCCCTGCCTGCGGTGACAAGGTACGCCGCCGCCTGTCCTACCCTCGAGCCTTCACCCGCCAGAGTCATTCACAGAGGCAGGTGTGAGGCCCTAGATCCACGTTCTCCCTTCCTTCAGCCTCATACCCCCACTCCCTCCTCTCCCCTCTGCCCCCTCTGCCGCCCTGACCCGCACCCCGTCCCCTCCCGCACAGGCCGCCCGCATCCCCCAGCACTCCTCCCACTACAGCGTCCACGCGCCGACCATCCAGAAGCAACCTCGGCTCCACCGCGAGCAGTCTATCACGCGCGCTTCTCCCCAGCCTATTCCACTACCCCGGCCGTGAAGCAGAGAGAGCGCTTCCCCAGCTCGCGGAAGCTGAACACGTCCCAAGCTGCGCGCCTCCGAATATTATTATTATACACAGAATACGTACGAGGCCTAGGGATATCGATGGATGCAAGCACCGACACGCCCCGGCGAATGCCCCCGCCGACACGCCCGGGCACGCACCTGCCTACCCGGGGGCATGTGTAGGTAACAGCGACTCGGCTCTGATACCCCCGCTTCTATCGGTCCGGTGGGGGGAGGGTGTCAGGATCAGGACGGTCCAGACGACCCTTTGTGGACTCGGCCTCCCTTGTACATAGGCGAATCACGGACCACGTTAGCTTCACCTTGATACCTATGCCCTCGTGTGGGTTGCCGTACCCTCCAGTGTTCAACGGCTTCGACGCTACTCTCGGTACGGGCAGTCCAATTCAGCTTTACATAGCAAGGGGATAGTACCAGGACTTTTGAAGGGCAAGGGCAAAAGTGTGTATTCTAGTGATGCAATACTCCCTCAACCCCCCCCCCCCAATGGTCCGAGGGATTGAATTGACGACCAATCCTGCAACAGACAGAACATGCGTGTATGACAACAGCAGGATAGCAAGGCCAAGAAAGCACGGAAAGCAGGATCAGACAATGGGAAGCAAAAACAGATAGCAAGAATGAATGGCCATGGAACGGAATGGCATGACATCCCCAGTTCGAAGCGCTACTTCTCGGTGCGACAGTAGGATAGCGGGAACCGTCCCGAAGAGTTAGCGCACCACTCCGAGTCCTCGCTGGCACTCGAGCACTGGCAATGACCCTCTTCGGGGCTGTCCTCCGCGCCAGGAGACCCGGGCACCACATGGTTCCCTGCCCGTGTGGGTAACATTGGCAGTGCAACACAACCAGAGATACCATATTTGGCAAAGTCCATCGTAGATGGGTCTGGTGTGTGAGCGTGGATGGCTGGTGATGAACCCAATGGAGCACAGGTGATCAGAGTCAATCTTATATTGAACTGGCTCTGGCACTGCTAAGACTCACCATTTCTGAGGTGATGTGCCTTCAGCCTGGGTGGATCCCTGCGAGGGTCACATTCAGAGCTAGCAGGTGTGATGAGAGTAGGTATAGCCGTCTTCAAGGATGGCCTTTCAACAGATTCATCTCCAGCTGCTGCCAGGAGGAGTTTCTCTGGATTACAATGGAATGATTGGGTTGGCATGTATATCTTTTGTGGTGGATCAACTGCATCAATGGATGACTGCAGCTCAGCATTTCCTGTCACTGGATATGATTCACTGGGACTCTCATCAGCCCCATAAGAGGTGGAATCTGTGATGCAAGGTGAGGCTACTGCAGGAGATTTCTTTGGAAGAATGACTCACAACCCTCTGGGATTCTGGCATCCATATCCATGGTGGAGTGTGTGTTGCTCTCCAGCGCCATGCTGGGTTTATAACGCTCAATAAGACGGTTGATAGCTTTCTCAAGATCATCTCCTGCCTCAGCCTTCCAACCTCTTGCTGTATCAGAGAGTGTCCAGACCACTTTCCCCTTGGGGTTAATGTGGAGGATCCTTCTCTGGGGAAAATATGGATGGTAGAGAACTTGTTCATTGGTAGTGTTGAACTTCATCGATGTGAATGCCCTCCACTCATGCTCTCCAATCTTTCCCCACAGCATCCTTCCAGCAATGTCCACATACACATCTCCAGGGTGGCCCAAGGCAGGATCTGGGGTGCCATCGTGAATGAATGTAGAAAAAGAGATATAGTCATTCATGACAGGGTACGGATACTCCTTCCTCCAGCCAAACTTCTCCTTGAAAGAGGAACCCTCATATGGGATGGTCACTCCAGAAGGAAGGACATTCCTCGGATCCTTAAGGCAGGGCTGGTGTGGTATGAGTGAAGATGAAGTCAGCATGGGCTGAAAGGTTGACTCAGAACACTGCATGGGTGATAGGGAAATTTGCAACAAATCCGAAGAAATTTTAACCCTGAGCCCCTTTACATAAACAAGTGACATATGTGGTGCAATGTTTTACCATATTTGGCAATTGTGGCCATCTAAGCCCCAGATTCATTTCTGTCTTGAACATATATACCTGTGAATGACTCAAATCCCATGTCCCCACCGTCTAACTCCTGATAAATGGCTTGTGTGTCTAGCAGCGGCCACCCTTGAGACCCTTCAGAGAGGCTTTAAGTACAGTTCCCGGCCCTCAGGGCTGCCTTCCCACGGCCTTCCTTCGATGACCATATTTCCCACGGTTGGTTTCAGCCGCTCTATCTCAAGTTGTGGCTGAGTGGTGGGTGTTTCTGCGACAATATGGTGGACTAGGACTGCTCCCTTATTTATGGTATACTGAGGATGCCCCTAGCTAGCCCATGAGCGAGCGCAACTTTAGAAATCCCTGATGCTATTGAACTGGAGAATGAGCTCCAGCGGCGGGCCTTCAGACGTCGTTGCTACTGCAGAGTTGTAAGTTCTCCCAACTGCAGCTTCCTTCATTGCATCTCGCTCGGGGCTCACACATCACTTCGCATCATCGGACATGAAACAAGTGTCAGCCAGAAAATGGCTGCACCTTGGACGAGCCTGACGAGGGTATCGAAGAGTCCGTCGGTAAGCCAGTTAATTACCCCCAACGAGTGATGCATCATATGTGCAAGCTAGAGCCTTTGATCGCCAGGAGGGTGTAGACGCGATTACAAGATCCCCTTCGGACAGCGAATGTCGTGCGGTCCCACTCTCGATACGAGATGAACAGTATTTAGCTACCGATTTCGTTTGCATCGCATGGCGTCTGCATCCGAGGCCTCAGGACCGCTACCTCCAGCCGGTATGCTCAGCTCATGCGGTACCTTCGAGCGGCGACCGAGAAAGTACTGCAGTACGCAAAGTCTCTATCCCTCTTCTCTAATATTGCATGTGATCATCGGACATATTGCTCATTGCCACTGGTATCGCAGCCCCTCCGGGTGGCAGCTAATCTGTTGGAATGTCTCCCTGTAACTGGCCGATTGCAATGCGGATCGACACAGCAGTGCGCCAGTGCGGGCTTGTGCCAGGCGTGAACGTACTCCGCCTGTCGAAACCAGTGCATCGATTTCTTCTGTGCGTCTTTTCAGCACGAACATGCCGGCAAACCAGGACTCTTGCTACGGCCTACAAATGCCCGTTGTTCCGAGAACTTTCGTGCACAACCCTCCACGTTCGAAGTTTTGACTGATAGAGCAACTGGATCGGTTTCGGGGACGTGCGTCAGGCATACGTTCATAGAGTTCCTTCTCGGGAGACAAGGCTATGCAACTACGTTGCAATGACTGGTCCCCCGCGATTCACTAGATCTCAAGACCTTCGCGCTCATCGAGTTACGTGTCTATCCCGAAGTTGGCTGTGGCCGACTACTCATGTAGGGTCTTCCCTTGCATGGCATTAATATCGGCAATTCGCTGCGTGATTTTCCAGAGGATCCGCGGCAATCCTGACAATGTACGGAACTCATAAATTTGACTATTAATAGGGTCGCTCTTTCCTGTCTATGGCCATCATTATCCGAGTTTCGACACTGCACAGATCACCATCATTCGCCGGTGGTCAGACATCTCCGGAAAGCAACTCACCTATGTCCATCAAGGGGTCTGCTACTATATGGACATACATACCCGCCATTCTCGGCTTTTCATCTGATTAACGATACTATTTCGTTCAACCTGCGGACGTGCTACTGCAGAGGCTATGAGCTAACTGAACGTACGTCTGGTTGGTTCCCACTGCTCGTCGTTGAGACCGATTTCTTTCCTCTTGTACTGCTGCTGAGGCTTCATCTGTGCATCATCCTCACACTCGACAAGCGAGGTGGGCCATAAGAAGTAAGCTTCTAGTCAATTGTCTTCGACCTATTTCACAGTCTAACGACGTTTACGAATATCACAGGAACGTATAATGGCTTCCTTGGAAGCTACGTATGGAGCCATGTTCTCCGGTGCTTCCTTTTCCTACGCGTGCGTAAGAGGAGCATCTTTTGAGAGCCCATAACAGACTTGAGTGTAGGTTATACGGGATCGCTCTGGTCCAGTTCGTGTTGTTTTGTCGAAGGCGGGATAGAGGGGAGGTGGCAGTAAACTCCTTGGTATGCCCATCCTTTACCGAACCAGTGGACGTGTAAATCTGACTATGTTGGGGCACCAGGTTGTATTCACATGGCTTGTGAGCGCACCCGACTGAGACGTGTCGCCGATGCTGACGCATTAGCAGATGGACACCCTTCAGCAATGCCTGATCACGCATGCTCTGTGGTATTATCTGGTTTGCAAGAGCGGGGGTATTGATGCCAACAGGTATTTCGTGAATTGGTGGGTCGCGCATAACGAGCTCGAGAGATCCTTAGAGCTGAGGTATGTCTCAGGAGCCTCCAAGTAAGCTATCGTTCTGTCGCCCTCGTTTCTCCGTTCTAATGGATGGCGTAGGCGCAGGGTATCCCATCGGTATGTATATCTCTATTTTCCTCTCGGGAGATGATACTCAATGGCCCTGATCCACAGGTGATTCTCACCTTGACCGTTCAGTGGTAACGTTCTCTCTCATTACAGATATTCGTCTTTCCAACATCATCTGTTAGGTTCTTTTTCATAAGACTGGTGAAGTGTACGTATACAATTTCGTGTCGAATGCAAGCCTTGGGCTGATCCGCCGCTTTCAAAGTCAGCAAGAGACGCTGGACATTCATCTTGGTATGTTACCATTATTGCGCCCGCTGGCTTCCGTCGGCTCATTAACCTATGTAGTTTCTTCCCATACTCGCAGCTTTCGGTAAGTCTAACTAGTCCTATTGCATTGTCGCATTCCTTACTCTCGTGAATCCAGCGCTTTCGTTATGTGAGCTGCTATATTATCTACAGCGCCATCGCTGCTGGATGACATTTACCCCACGCCAGACTGGGACCTCCGAAAGTTTGTCATCCCGAAGCAGATCCGGCGTATAATTTAACGAAGTGTCTTCCGCAGCCTCACCTCACCTACACCGCTTGTCTATGTCCTCGATAGAAGCGGAGGACTCATAAACGCGGGAACCACCGCTCTCCTCGCGACGGCCAACACCTGCTGTCTCATAGCCGACGTAGCAATATCGGCCATAGGATGCCACCAGCTATACAAGCACCGCTCAGAGGCGATGGGCAGCTCCAAGTAAGCTTGTGTTCCGTTGTTCCAAAGCTATACGTTAATCTGCGGAGGGGTGTGGTGAACACTTTGATCAGGTACACGCTCACGACGGGACTCTTGTCGAGGTAGGGATTATTATATGACCCACTGTCATCATCTGATTTACATCATACAATTCAGCATTGTCACGGTCCTATGTCTTATATTCGTAGGCCTTTCTGCAGCTCGCTTAGGGCAGGGAAAGATGATCTAATCACCGGATCCGCTTGCAGTACGTCGCGAACGCGGGAGTGACCTTTGGCGCCCTGCTCGCTGCATACTTTGTCCACGCCAAACGTAAGTCTGGCAGATCTTCGTTAATCGTACTCTCGCTCTAACGCTTGTAAAATTGCTCGAGTATACGTAAACTGTATGCTAGCCTCGTAAGTCCTCACTCTTCCGCTCTCCTCAACTCATCAACGTCTTCCGGGGCTTGTCCCAGATTAAATAATCGCGAACGTCTGCGCGCGCGCGTCTTCGAAGACGTCAAGAGCAACCTTCCGACCTCCCGACCACACTCGAGTGTATCCACGCTCACCGCTCCGAGACGGTCGAGCGTGCTCGTCATTGCACCGGGAATGCCGGAGAGGGTAGAACCCCCGCCGCACCTGTCAGAAGCCAAATATAAGCGATCACCGTACGACTCGTATCCGCTCATACAATGAACGCCGCATTTTTGGTCGTCGCTATCGTAATAATTCTATAAACTATCATACGCTTACCAGTCGAGTACGACACCTATCGCTACATACCTCTTCGTGTTGCAGAATAGGGATTCGCGCCACACGCGAGGCCAAATGAACCCAAACAAATGTAAACTCCGGACTTGTTGCGATCAAGAGCATCCCCTGCGGCCACAAAGCGGTGCGGTTTGCGGTTGATCACAGCTGTGCACCGTACGCGTCTACTTGCCGGCATTGCGGATGGACGTCGACTCTTCAGGCACATATCCCAGCACGATGTGTCAATCATATTCCTGCCGCCTGCGAGTGGTCTCTCGCACACGAGTTGAACCTACTCTCCTTCCCCTCCTTCCGAACTATCCACTCCCTGGGTCTCACTCTAGATCAAAGTAAGTATTCATAAATACTTGACATTCCCTATCCGCACAATTCTGACTCTGCTCTAGATGTATCGCTTATCCATCCAGTCCAAGCTCCCTTCCCAAAGACTCCGACAACTCTCGACGACTGCAGCCAGACGGAATGGTGCTACGCAAGCGAAACAACCCAAGGTCCTCTTCACGCCTGCCCCGCCGCCACCCACTGCCCTTGGCCGATATCGCTATCTCTCTCCACTCGCGTCCGTCACAGTGTCCCCGCTATGCCTAGGCGCCATGAGCATCGGCGACAAGTGGGCAGAGTATGGGTACGGTGCAATGAACAAAGTGAGATTACCTTATCGCTCGTGGAGGACCGCACGACTGATGAGTTTGGATCTGCAGGAGACGAGCTTCAAGCTGCTAGACGCTTACTTTGACAATGGAGGAAACTTCATCGATACGGCGAACAACTAGTACGTGTCCTCATTCCTATCTTCGGCGCTGTACGGCGGTCTGACACAGCGCGCGGTGTTCTGCAGCCAAGACGAGACGTCAGAGATGTTCATCGGCGAATGGGCCGAGCAGCGCGGCATCCGCGACCAACTTGTCATCGCAACCAAGTACTCAACAATGTACAAACGCGGCAACGACGCCATCGCCCAAAAAGTTCTCTACGGCGGGAATCACGTCAAGTCAATGTACACCTCCGTGCACGAATCCCTTAAGAAACTCCGCACCTCCTACCTCGACATCCTGTACGTACACTTCTGGGACTACAACACCTCCGTCGAGGAGGTCATGAACGGGCTGCACAACCTCGTGCAGCAGGGCAAGGTGCTGTACCTCGGCATCAGCGACGCGCCCGCATGGGTTGTCGCGAAGGCGAACCAGTACGCGCGCGACCACGGCAAGACGCCGTTCGTGGTGTACCAGGGCGCGTGGAATGTGATGCAGCGTGACCTTGAGCGGGAGATTATCCCCATGTGCCGCTCAGAAGGTGCGTCTTTTTTCTTACACTTTCGATTTCGTGCCTCAGCTAATGCACTCCAGGTCTTGCGATCACCCCTTGGAACGTCCTCGCTGGTGGACACATCCGCACGGACGCCGAGGAAGAGGCGCGCCGGCAGAGCGGCGAGAAGGGACGGCAGACGTGGCGCGGCGACTGGGAGCGCAACGAGCGCGAGAAGCTCGTCTGCCAGGCGCTCGAGGACGTCGCGAACGCGACCGGCGCGAAGAGCATCCAGGCTGGTATGTCTCGTTCCCACCTCTCACCTCCCTCACTTCCCTTGGCGTGCTAATTCTGAGTACAGTGGCGATCGCATACGTGATGCAGAAGACGCCGTACGTCTTCCCCCTAATCGGCGGGCGCAAGGTCGAGCACCTCCTCGCGAACATCGCCGCGCTGGACGTGGCGCTCGCGCCCGAGCACATTGCAAAGATCGAGAGCGTCGTGCCGTTCGACCTCGGCTTCCCGGGGAACATTATCGTACGCGACCTCCCTTCATTCATTCACTGTGTAGAGACGCTGATGATGGTTGCATATAGGGCAATGGAACCGCGAATATGCTCGCGATGATGACGGTGGGCACGTTTGATCGGCAGCCGCTGCCGCCTCCCATTCGGCCAGCGCCCAAGCCCAAGGCGCAGTAGTCGGTGCATATCGTGATGTGTGCGCCGTTGCATAGATCGTCGGCACAGCATGCTTTGGATACTTCTTTATAATGGCACAGTACTATTTATTCCCATCTGTATATGAATCCGTACGCGGTATCAATCCAGAACACGAGATATCAGTCCATAAAATCTCATCCTTATCGATCCTTTACTACCAATAGTTCCGACTTCTGGAGGACGGTGCCGTATAGCTCACAGCTGGTGCCGTCGAGTATTTGTTTGCCCGGATTCGTATTGGATATGTATCTTCAACTCAGTCAAAGCATAGATAACTGGAGGCTTGCTTCTGCGGCTCTTCTGTTTGGACGGAGGATATACCATGTATTATTGAACTTCTCTAAATGTCAATGCAAGGCCTAGTGGACATTGCCGGGTGGAGAACTTACCAACATAATGCAGCTCTACTGAATACGGACTCACCGAGGTTGAAGAGCCAGCCGGAAAGTTCCGCTAGAGTTCGACGGATTCGAGGAGAACGAAGGTTCTGTTCCGAGCCAAATTCCTCCGCACCTGATGATTTTCCTGGGGTCAAAATCGTATCATGAGAAACGGGGGAGCGTACACAGAAACTTGACACTTGAGACTCGCTTTCGGTTGGTAGGTTGTTTGGACGCAGTGCGAGGACAATGGGTGTGGCGTGGTAAGCGCGCGAAGGTCGACAAGCACGTGCACATAAAAGGCACTCTCGTCGAAGTTCGAGTGTTCCTCCCAACCACACTGAGACCGCCCGCATCCCTCTTCAGAGGCCCTCCTGCTCCCTTGTTACCAAGCCACAATCCTATAATAAGCACAACAATAAGTGGACGGTACGTTGGCTCACTTCCCTTATTGATTCTTGCCCGCGCCACATGTGTCGCTCACGTCGTATCGCAACCACAGCGCCACTCCAGTCACGATGAACAAACCGTCCTTCAGCTCCATTCCGCCGGAGCTTATGGCCAAAGTGGCCGACGACGTGGTGGCCGACTTGGACGCCACAACGCCCGACCCCGCCACCCGACAGTCTCAGATTGTTTCCTTAACTCACATCTGCGGCAGGTGGAGGGAACAGCTTGTGAACAACCGGAAGTATTGGACGGCCATATTCATTCAAACGGTCGACAGTCTGAAGGACCTCATCGCTCGCTCCCGCAACGCCACATTGACAATCGCCGGATCGCTTGACGACAACGACGGTGGCAACGACGTCGAGGATCGCCGCAAAGACAACAAGGAGAAACTAGGCATGGTGATGGGCGTCCGCTCCCGGCTTCGGTCCCTCTGTATTTCGGTCTCGTCCACGGTTTTGGGTAGCGTCGTCGGACAGGTAAATGGTACATCGCCCATCCTGGAGGAGCTGCAAATCAGCGTCACGGGTGCTTTCGGTGCGGCAAACCTGACTCCTTTCACGTCCCCGGTCTTGCGGCGTCTTCGGCTTAGTGGCCTCGACAGCCTGAATGACTTCAGGATGCTCTTCACGCCGACGTTGACTGAACTGCATATCACTGCTGTCAGAATGGCTATGACGACTTTGGATATATGGCAGGTCTTACGTGGTCTACCCAACCTTACGGACCTTAAGCTCAGTCTGGATCTCGGACCTATCCCGATCAACCCTGGAGTTATGATCCAACTCGACAAGTTACCATTCCCCTCCCTGCGGACCCTATCCATCGA